TATTGACTTGGCCAAGATAATATGGCAGAAGAGACATTGTGCAAATTCCAAGCCTACATCAAAAAAGGCCTTGCAAGCTTCTACTTGCTTTCTTTGAACCTTGAGAAGCTGCGTACACAAGTCCAGACTAGCTTGCTAATTAATGACAGATGTGTAGCCCAGATGCCTCTGCACCCCCAACTGACATCCAGCCAACTTCCTGTAGCAGAACTACGAGCCTTTGAGTGATGCTATCCTAAATCATTCTGCTTCCAGCTGAGACCCACTGAAGAAGCTTAGCCTAGATCAATCAAGCCAGACTCAAATTAGCATGGCCACCCAGCCAGACTGTGGAATCATGAGAAATAATGAATGCTTTTTATTTTAAGCCACAAATTTAGGGGAGAGTTGGTTTGTTATGCACCAAAGCTAGCAGATACAAAGTGGAACAGAGAAGAGGTAAAAATGCACTGTCCTAAGTAATAAAAAGATGACATGCTCATCAGTAGTTGATGTATCACAGGGCCGTTCCTGTTCTGCAAAAGTCAACCCTTTCTCCCTTCCTCTGGGTTGATGTGGCCTCATACAAAGGTGCATAACTTGCCAATGGCTGAGAATAGGACACATCCCTGACTTGCCCTTTGGTCAGACTCCCTTGTGCAGGCCCAACTTGCCCAGCTGTAAGCAGCCTCCTCGCCTGCCATCAAAGAGTTTGACATTGTTGTTCCCAGGGAGCAAGTGTTATGTCTAACACAGCTAACTGGACAAGAACTTGGTACCTGACCAGGAGATGGCAAATCATATTCTTGCCTTTGGAAATCTGTGTTATAAAACATCAAAAAGATAAATTTTAGCAGAACTAGAAGATTAAAAAGATATATTTAGAAAGATTTTACAGTGGTGTATGGGGTCGTGAGTCCTGAAGGGGCAGGAAGGGTTATGGCAATTGAGAAGTCAAGAGTAAAAAGGAGCTAGAACCACAGAGCACCCACAGAGTATCGTGAGAAAACTTTGATGACTGGTAGAGAAAAACCAGACGAGCAGGGCATGGCTCAGCCCAGTTAATGACCGAGCCCAGCTGCAACAAGTGTGGGCACCTGCCAAAGAGGGCTTCCAGCCACTAGGGTCTGGAGCAAGCCTTCACCCAGGCTCCTGGGATCCTGCCCTACTAGAGCCAGGATGTATCAAGCCCTGTACTTAACAAACCTTTACTCAACCAGAATTTCCTCAAATAATATAATCCTTGACATTCTCTCTGAATTAACCTAGCCCAAGGCCAGAGCTGGGAGAACTAACGACAGAGCCAGAAGCCAGATACCACCAGACGCCAGTGCCAGAGGTTGTCTTGGTTACTTTTCTCATTGCTGAGACAAAATACCCATCACCTAAAGTTAGGGGAGGAAAGGTTTGTTTGGCTCACAGTTTGCAGAGGTTTTGGTCCACGGTTAGCTGACTCTAAGGGAGGGTGCATGACAGAGGGGCATCACAGAGGAGAAGTAGTCCATGGAAAACCAGGAAGCAGCAAACAACAAAAAAGCAAGCAACAAGCAACAAGCAACGAACCTCTTTCTGTCTCTTATCTCTTTTCCAGGCTACTCACCCTTAGGGTGGGTAGCACTCACACTCTTCTTAATCTTAGCATTACACCATACATCAATCCCAGTGTCACACACTCTAAATCCAGCCATCTCTGAAAAGCCCCATGAGGCTTTGGGGGGACATCTAGACACTAGCCTTAACAGAGGTCCCCAGAGAATGACTGATCTGGGACACCTGCCGTGATCAGCATCTTTTCATTGGATAGTTTCTATCAGCCAATCGACGAAGAACAGAACAGGTTCTCTCTGTCGAGGCTCATCCAGTGCTCCCTTAACCTTCTGTGGTAAATACTACTAAAATTCTCATTTTTTACAAGAGGAAACTGGGACTCATGAAAGAAATCATTTGCCCCCTTACATAGATGGTAGCTGGTAGAGTGAAGGCTAGAAGCCACGTCTAACTTGACAGTCCTAGCTCTTTCTATAAGGCTACTGGGGGACAAAGGACAGCTGGAGGTTCCAGAGGAGCAGTTTAGGGTGGCCATGCAGAAGACAAGGGATGCTAAGGTGTCTCTTCTCTTGGGTCAAGCTAGCTTTAGTTCTGGTGACCCACATGCGATTTTCCTCCATGCTGAATATGTTGGTGCTTCAGTCTGAATCCGGAATCCTGAAACCCAGACTGGGAAAGGGCCCAGGACAAGATGAAGGGGCGGTATCTGTGGGGGTCCATGATTCGGGGGGGGGGGCAGCCTAGGGCTCAAGGGCTCAGGGAGGTGGGATAGTCAACAAGAGCTGAGCTGTCTGCTACTTTGGACCCTGTTTGTACGCAGGGAATCTCACTTTGGGAGGGGGAGCAGCTCTGTGAGGCTGGACTTAGAGGATGGTGGGAATAGGCTCAGGGCCCACACAACCCACCTCTAGTGCAGGGCCCAGGACATAGAATGGAATGGAGTTGGGAGAGCTACCAGAAGAAGCTGTAAACTAAGAGTGAGGACAATGCTAAGCCACATAGCAGACTATGCAAGAGTGGGCTTCCTTGGTGTAGAGGTGCCCTGAAGGCTGCCGATTTTAATAACCCTCAAGATCCCCTTGAAGCCTAAGCATTGGGCAAGGCAGGGTGGACTGGACACCTGGAGGGACAGAAGAGACTTGCCACTATTGGCCTCCATCCCTGCATAAGCTTCCTCTTAGCAGCTCATGAGGATGATGAGTGATCCTACAGCAGGATAAATGACCTCTTATCTGATCTCCAAATCTTTGTCACGAAGGGCAGTGTTTCCCTTCTTGCTCTCTAATCTGCAAAATCCTCAGCTGGTGATGACAGCAACTGTCTCCTTGGATCTCATACACACACTGCCATCTGCTGGGAGGATGCAGGAGTGATCCAGAGGCTGCACTAAATTTGGGCCCAAACCAGAATTCATATCCCTAATTTATAATCCCTAATTCATAGAGAAGCCTCTCTCTCCTGCTAGACCTAGCCAGAGGTACCAGGTCTTCCTTCCTGCCTGCCTGCTTCCTCTGTCCCCCCAAGTCCTCTCTCACATCTCCCAGGATACAAATCCCTCTCTTATTGGGTCGGTCTCTCTCTCTCTCTCTCTCTCTCTCTCTCTCTCTCTCTCTCTCTCTCCTCCCCACCTTAGTTATTCCTGAGGGCAGATTGGATCTTAAGCCAAGAGGTGCAGTCCCAGAGCAGCAGCTCACCATAGAGTTGTTCAGAGCTACAGCAGGAGAACTTTGGGACACATGGGCCCTGGGTGCAGGAAGTGACACCTGTACCCACTGTCACTCGTGGACCAGGGGAGGAAGGGTACAGGGCTCAACCTGTTGGAGGACAGGAGAGGAGGCTACATGGATCTGCTGCCAACAGTCTGCACAGTTGCTGCAGGCCCAGGGAACTATGCCCATTCCAGAGCTTCGTGGAAGCCAGGAGGAGGAGAAGCAGTGTGCTCCTGCTTACACACTCTAGGAACAAGTCAGGGCAGCCAGAGCTGCCTCACAGTGCATAAGAGAGGGAAGAGCTCTTTGAGATCTCCCATTAGAATCTTCCATTTTATGCATGAGAAAACTGAGGCCAACAATAGTGGGCATCACACTGAGGGACTATGAATGCACATTCCTGAAGGGTTGGAAGACAACTTGGTGAATCCCTTTCCTTAGAGCTGAGGAAACCTGGAGGCCAACAGGAAGGAGTCAGGCTGATCTGCCCAGGGTGGCAACACCAGTGAGTATCTATGCTGTGCTTTTTCCGCTCACCAGACTGTGCCAGTGTGACAAGAAGCTGAAAAGCTGCTGAGGCTCTGGGATTGGGGAGCATTGGGTGGGCACCGAGGCCGCCCATCTTCTGGTGAGAGGGAACCCTGAGGCAGCAGTCACTGGCTGCCCCGTTGTGTTGGGATGCATCTACCATTTCCCTTGCTCCTCAGAGGTAGGGCCAAGGTAGGAGGCTTATTTATTTCTGTGCTTTTATTTACTCATCTTTTATTCATTCACATCCTGTCAGTGTATATTGTTTACATTATAAATCATATGTATTCCCATACTTCCTCTTAAGGAAAAAGCCCAAGAATACAGATTGTTCTGAAGCTGTGAAAATGAGAGTGACAGCGGCAGCCCTATGTCTCCATCTTCCCTTGGGCCTCCCACTGGGCTGCAGAGAGCCCTAATTGTGCCAAACTGAAGGCTGACACCACCTAGATCCCCAGCACCCACTCAGTGTAGTGTATGCACCCGACTTTCAAAAGATAGAACATGAGAAGAAGAGGCGTGACAGAGAGGAGGGCTCTGCAGGGAAACTTAAGGATGGCATTTTCCTAGTATTCTCTTCCCGAGCTGAGCAGGTAGGGCTGGGTTGGGACATCAGCTGCCTGAAATCAACTGAGCTGCATTCAAGCTAGTCTGTAGCAAAGCCTCCGCCAAGGAACCAGAAAGACAGACTGCAGCTGCTAAGACCACAGAATAGTGATGGTGAACCTTTTAGAGCTTTCAGTGATACAAGCAGCCCATTGTGGCATGTGTGCTATAGGTTCTCCACCACTGCCATAGGAGAAGAAATAGATTTTTGAAGGTGGAACCAAATATTGATAACCTGGTGGGACACAGCATTTGAACAGAAGCATGTCAGGAAGAAATGCAGAAGGTTCTGGAGGGGACTGGCTGGCAGTCACCATTTGTATTGTGTAGACTACTTCAGCGGCATTCAAAGGCCTGGAGTTCAAGCCCGACTGGGATTTCAGCAACTGGGCTGAGCAGACACAACCTGCAGCTGTGAGAATGAGCAAAGGGGAAATGTTGCATATAACTCAAAGGGGGAAAGTCCAAAACATGATTTTATTGCAAATCAAGGTCTTTGGATATATCTCAGAGGCAGAGGCAGCCTCAAACACATTGTTAGGAAAGGTAAGTAACTAATACCTGACACCACAGACAGATTTCAAAATCTCACAGTGGCCTAACAGTAAAGTTAACTCGTTCATGTTCCATGCCTGTCTCAGTCAGCAGGGATGCAGGCTGGTGGAAGATCATTCACCTGGTATCTGTAACTTCTGGAACACAAGGCCTACAAGACTATGGTAAAAGGAAAGAAAGAGAAGGGAGAAAGCATACTGTCTCTGAACTGTTTAAATACAAACAAAGCATGCGTCACTTTCACTCACAGTAATTAGCTAAAACCAGTCACACAGTCGAAACCAAACTTCAAAGGGTGCTGTCATATGTAGGACAGTGCATACTGCATCCAGTGAGCCCTGCCCCAGCTGTACAGTAAACACCAGACAAGAAGCAATTAAAATAACTGATTTGTAAGAAACTAAGGGAAAAATCAAAATCATCTTAAGATAAGAAATAAGAAGAAAATGGAGATAAATTCATTAAGAATACTATTAATTGCCCAATTAATGAAAAGGCTAAAATAGTTAATATGAGCAAAAAAAGTGAAAAGGAAAAAGTACTCAATTATCTTTCTTTTGCATAGCTGCCTCAGTTTCATAAGAGAAACAAACACGCCAACAAAGACTACTGAAAAGTATAACAAATACAAAATAATTACTATTTCAAAAAATATTGAAAGCCAAGCTATCAAGGAAGCTTTCTGCTACTTATTAGTTTGGCACCAATTTATTTCTGCTTTTTTGTTTTGGTCAGAGAGTATTGAGAAATACAGTGGAAATGGCAATATATTTTAAGTTCATCTTGCAAATCTCAAGATAATCTTCAATTAACCTTTTTAGAAGCTTCAAAGAGAACAGTAGAAAACTAGTTTCCCCCCAATAAAACACCACTAAAATTATATAACTGCCTGCATTTCTTATCACAAATAAAGTGCCATAAATGAGGAATGCAAAACTTATAATAACCATTTATGAATGCATTTATATAAAATCCAAATACATTCATAGAAATGGCAAAATAGCCTTTATTGCAAAGCTTTATTTTTAAAGAATGAGTCAACCTGACAGTACTAATTAACACATCAGAGTACATTCGAATTTAATATATCCTGTGTTCGAGCATGTGGTTTTATCTCAAAATATATTTGAAAATAAAAGTAAGAACATTGAGGGAACCATGCAGGGCTGAAGTTTCTACAAAACACCATTAAAGAACCACTCAGCCACATACAGCTTAATAAATACCATCAAAGCCAAACATGAGAGTGTGGGTGATCAATCATTCAATGCAAGCCTGCTCCTACTTCCTTGGCCCAGTAGTGGTTTTCACTTGCTATGTAATATACATGTAAACTTATTTCCATTCAGTGAGCTTTTTCAAAGTACTGTATCTGTAGAATCTAGACATTGTCATCTTCATTCATCCATCTAATGAATATTCATTCACTGAAGTCTATCATGTGCCAGGCACCATTCTAGGCACCAAGGAGGCAAATGTCACCCAAAGAGACATAAGTCCCTGCCTTTGTACAGCTTGTACTCTAAATGGGCAATCAGTGAAAGCAATAAGCTTTGGATGGTTTGGGTAAGTTCACTGGAAGAGTGGGGCAGAAGACTAGGGCATGGCAACATGGCAACATGGCTGGGGCAATTGGGCATGACCTGTCAATTGCAGAGATTGGTTAACCACAGGTGCAGAGCAGCAGCACTCGTGCCTGGCATCTGATACCAATCTTCTGACATGAGATCAAGCTGAGCCCTGTACCTAATACCAATCTTTTAGCACAAGATCAAGCAGGGAGAGCCTGGATCTAATGTCAGAAAGAAGATATAAAAGATGGCAGCCTTGGCTTTGCTGCCACTGCCCTTTTGTTCTTACCCATCTCGTGTACAGGACATAGCTTCTCTTTCTCCTTCAGGGTACCTTTTCTCCTTGAGCACTTCTTTTGTGCTTCTTTCTCCTCTTCTCTTTTGCCCTAAAATAAATGTTAAAATTTCACATTCACCAATTGTTCCTACTAATTCTTTGTATGGGACAGTAAGATCCTGGAAACGACTTCTGGACACTACAATGACCAGTAACAAAAGGATAGAGCAGGGCAAGAGAATGAATGTTGTATTTTTCATCAGTTAGTCAGGTAAGGCCTCACTCAAATATCAAAGGAGGTACTTAAGTAAGGACTTGCAGAAGGGGAAAGGCTGAGTCATGTTGATATCTAGGGTCAGAGCATTCCTGGTTGAGGGCATAAGCACACTCAAACCATGAGTGAGAGCAAGGAGGTCAAGGTAATTGGAGCTGAAACACAGAGACTGTGAAAGGAGATGAACTGAGAGAGGGAATGTTTAAGAACTTCAACTGCTTGGGGACACTAGCCACATCAAAGCAAGATCTCATCCTTCTCCCTGCCCCTTTCCATTCAAGGATCTCTGATTTCCAATGTACTGGGGACAGCCTTTATCTCAACTGCATCTTTCACATGGACACAATGTGGCCTGCTCCTTTTCTTGTAGCTGCTGCACCACAGCCCCTCACAGACAGTTTTTAGTCACCTTGGCAGCCAGGATTGGTATTATCCCCTCATTCAATGCCACTACCACCACCCTAGCCTTAGATGAGGGGGAGCAGAGAACAGTTCTCTCCCTCATTGCTTGGGCCATCGATACAGCCAATGGTGTGTCATCACAGGCTTTTCTAAAGGCTTGAAGAAAGCATAAGAGGAAAAAAGTGCAGGAAGAAAACTTGGATATCACCCTACCAAAACCATAGTGCAGCAACCACCCCCTGTGAAAGGAGCTCTTTCCTGACTATTAGGTCCAGCTCCTCCACAAATCATAGGTCTCCAATGCTGCCCTCTCTTTCCCAGTCCCCAAGCTATTCAAGTCTTGTCTCCGGGTTATTAGAGTGGAAGCCCCAAATTTTATTTTTTAATTTTTCAAAATTAATTTAAAAATAACTTTATTATCAAACACACACACAGAAATTAAAACCATTCAAAGAAGAACAATGCAAGGGAAAAAACTACAATAATATTCAAATACGGTAGAACTCAACCAAAACAAAACTGAGAAGCACTTAAACATTTTTCCATATAACTTTAAAAAACATCTCAAGTACCAACAAGACACCAGAGGATGTGATTTGTTTCAGAAAGATTCCCCAAACTAACATTGAACAAATAGTGGTCTGGAAAAAAAAACTCCAGTTAGCTAGCATACTCCACATAAGCCAAACTTCTCCCTAATTTAAATTTCGATACAGTCATATGACACGCGATGGAAACACAATCTGAGAACTATGTTATTAGGCCATTTCATCTGTGTGTATCCTTAATTACACTTTCAGTTTCTCACACTAGAGATACTCTTCGGTACTTACACATGTGTGTCCTATTTATTTCACTTAAGAATATGGCCTCAATATGCATCCATTTAGCTATAAATGTCTCTAGTTTCTGGTTCTTTATGGATGAGTAGTATTCCATTTTATTAAAAAACCACATCTTCTTTATCCAGTCTCCAGTTGATGAGCACTTGGGCTGTTTCCAAGCTTTAGCTATTACAAACTGTGCCACTATAAACATGGGTGCACATATATCGCTGTAGTATGATTCTTTTAATTCTTTGGGGAAGATACCCAGCAGGGGGATAGCTGGGTCGAATATGACCTCTAAGCCTAGTTCTTTGAGGTATCTCCATACTGACTTCCACAGTGATTGCACCAGTCTGCACTCTCACCAACAATGGAGAAGGGTTCCTTTCTCCCCACAACCCAGCCAGCATTTGTTATTGGTTGATTTCCTGATAGCAGCCATTCTTTCTGGGGTGAGGTGGAATCTCAGCGTTGTTTTCATCTGCATCTCTCAAATAACCAGTGATGTTAAACATTTTTTCATATATTTATTTGCTGCTTTTACTTCTTTGGGTGAGAAATGTCTGTTCATTTCAGATGCCCATTTTTGAATTGGGTCTCTGAATTTGGGAGGTCTGATTTTTTTCAGTTCTTTATATATTCTAGATTGTAGTCCTTTGTCTGAGGAACAGCTGCTAAAATTTTTTTCCCACATTGTAGGTTGTCTCTTAGCCCTGTTGGTGGTTTCTCTTGCAGTGCAGAAGCTTTTTAATAAGATGAGATCGCAGTTGTTGATTCTTTGTGCTAGTTCCCGTGCCACTGAGGTTTTGTTCATAAAGTCTTTTCCTATACCAATGTCTTCAAGAGTTCTACCTAACTTATCTTCCAGCAAATTTAGTGTTTCTGTCTTGATATTTAAATCTTTAATCCACTTCGATCTTAGTTTAGTGCATGGTGATAGGTATGGGTCTAGTTTTAATCTTTGGCAGGTTGAAATCCAGTTTTTCCAACACCATTTATTAAATAGGCTTTCTTTCCTCCAATGAGGATAGTTGGCTCCTTTGTCAAAGATGAGGTGGCTGAGTATATCTGTAGTTGTTTCTGCATCTTCTAATCTATTCCACTGACCCTCGGGTCTGTTTCTTTGCCAGTACCTTGCTGTTTTTATCACAGTAGCTTTGTAGTATAGTTTCAAGTTGGGGATTGTAATACCCCCCCAGCCATATCTCTGTTGCCTAAAATTTCTTTTGCTATTCTAGGTCTCTTCTGGTTCCAAATGAATTTTTGGACTGTTTTCTCTAGCTCTGTGAAATATATTGTTGGAATTTCAATCAGCATTGCATTAAACCTATATAATAGTTTTGGAAGTATGGCCATTTTCACTATAGGTTCTTCCTATCCAGGAACAAGGGATGTCTTTCCATTTTCTTATATCCTGCTCAATCTCCTTTTTCAGAGTGCTATAGTTTTCAGTGTAGAGGTCTTTTGCTTCCTTTGTTAGATTGACTCCTAGATATTTCATTTTTTTGGATGCTATTGTAAAAGGAATTGTTTCCCTAATTTCTCTCTCAGTGAGTCTATTATTTGTATATAAAAAGGCTATTGTTTTTTGAGTGTTGACCTTATGTCCAGCTACTCTTATTTTTTAATTTTACTTATTAATTACTTTGTGGTATGGGGATTCAACCCAGGGCCTTTGCACTCAACTACATCCCTCCCCCATCCTTTTCTAAAAGTTTTTATTTTGAGACAGGGCCTTGCTAAATTACAAAGCTGCCTAGGCTGAACTCAAGCTTGTGATCTTCCTGCCTCAGCTTTCCAGAGTGCTGGGATTATAGGCATGTGCCATCATACCCAACTAGTCCTAAATTTGACACCATAAAAGCCTCTCAATAAAGAAAAATACTACTTTCATTTATTTTGAAAATCCCTTTCATCCTCATTGCCTCAACTCCCATTCAATCCAGATGTGCCTCTGGCCTTGCCTGTGCATAACCAGAAGTTTCATGGAAGCATTTCTCCTCTGCCTAGATAAGTCTTCCACCACCCTAGAACACAAAAGCATCTGCTGGCAACTTTTCTCAATATGGCAACACTATGGCGCTTGATGCAGTGAAGATAATGTGTTATGGAAAACATAAACCACGGCTTCCTTCTTCACTATCCACTGGATTTCCTGGACTAGGAACTACTGACCAAGCAGTAGGTATGCATTCAGCCAAGCGGGGCCTCTTTAACCATTAGGTACAGTGGGCCCTAATGTGTTTTAATTTATTTTCAAATCAGAAGGAAAAATGAATTTTTAAGTGAAAGAATGTCTTGATATAATATCAATAGTATCTTTATACTAATTAGTTTTCTCATTGCTGAGGCAAAATACCTGACACTCACAACTTAAAGGAGGAGAGGCTTATTTTAGCTCACAGTTTCCGAGGTTTCCATCCATGATCAGCTGGCTCCACAGAAGAAACTCCATGGCAGAAGGGCCTGGCAGAGCAAGGCTGCTCACTTCATGGCAGCCAGGAAGCAGAGCACAGAAGAAGAGCCAGAGACAAAGGAACCAGGGACCATACATAGTTCCCAAGGTCACATGCCATGACCCACTTCCTCCAACTAGGCCCTACCTCTTAATAGCCCATTAAGCTATGAACTCATTAATGGGTTAACTCACAGATGAAGTTAATGCCCTCACAGTCCAATCACCTCTCCAGCAGTCTCTTAACCCAGTCAAGTCAAGATTAACTGGTTAATGTCAAGTAAAATAAATCAAACACACAAGTTTAAATATTGCACTGTTTCTCTTATATGAGAAACCCAAATTATAAATAAAGAGCAAAATAAAAGGTAGATAATATGAAGTAGGGAGATAGAGCTTTCTCAAATTGGAAGGGGATCAAGAGATAGAGGGAAGAGGGAAGAGAGGAAAAGGATGAAAAAAGGAATTAAAATGTGTTACGTACATGTACCAACTCCACACAAGTCATGTAAGTATTATGTACTGCAAAGATGTACTAATACATTAAAAAGAAAAAAGATTAACTGATATGTTAATGAAGGCATAAAATATAATTTAAATATTTTTTATGGAGGATGAAGCCCATGAAGGGAAAAGTGCCTGTTGTTGTCAGAAGGATTCAGCAAGGGAATACATTAAATACAGGACACATAACTTATAGGTTATTTTATGATAATTACCCAAAGATTTAAATGCAAAGGAGTGCAAGAGATTCATGGCACACTAGAAGCCCAAAGGATTCAACTGAGGGCCTAGATCCCAGCAGTTTCCCACACAAGTCTAGCTGAAGGCCTAGAGTCCAAGGCATGTCCTCCTTGAGTCTATCCAGTGGCCTAGAGCCCACGGCAATGTCTCATGCTTGTGCATATTGAGGATCTACACCTGAAAGGGCCAAAAGCTAGTGGTAGAAGCCAGAACATCTACACTGGTGAGATGAAGGATTTCTGCCACCAAGCTGAGGGATCCACATTGGAGGCAGGAATTGATGCTCACGGTGAAGATCAGGGCTTCCCTGATGAAAACAGCAGCCATTCCCAGTGACAGCACGGCCCTGTGCTCCTCTTCTGATGAGAACATCCTAGTTTGCATCAGGAAAACCATCCACAGCAAGCTTCTCCTAGCAAATCAACAGGTCAAGATCTTCCCCTACAGTTCTTTTTTATGGCTATTGGTAACAATCTTCAGGTGGATCCTCCATGCCCAGACCACGTTGATTCAGTTCAGCTGGGTGTTACAAGTTGACCATTAGTCAATCCACCACAATCCAACCCTGGTCAACTTGATAACCAAACACATTTCCTTAAACCATAGTCTCTAGTGGCAGATTTGTGAAAAGTTAACATATCTTGACCTCTTCAGATTTACAGCAACATAACAATTACATATACACAATTCTCATTGGACTCATTTCCATTATGGCTTCAAATCTTAAAACTCTTTGGGTTTCCATTTACATAATACATAAACATTTTAAAACAGTCTCACATACATCAACATACACTACATTAAAATCATAATAAGAGACAGCTATTAAAATCACAATCCTTGCTTCCCATTAATTTTGACAATAGTTGTGGCAACACTGAAAGACATCCCACGGAATCTTCTGCATTCCAAATACATTCTTCCCTTCAGGTAAAAGGTCTCAGATCACTTTTCCATTGTCCTCTTCCTTCTCAACAACCATGTTCTCCTGTTTCATCCTTGCAGTCCACAGCTTTACTGGAGCCTCTCCTCTGGCCAAACACTTCAAATCACCTGCTGGTTCTCTGCTCTTAATTTCTAACACAGATCTGGCCAAAAGCCCTCAGCAGTAACCATGCTACCATCCCAACAATATACTGCATTGAAATTTTTCTGCCACCCAGGCAATGTTTCCAAACACAAGCAAAATGCAGACCCACTTTGTACTGAAACACAACATACACTGCCTGGGATCCAGTAGTCAATGCAGTCCCCAACAAAGGCCTTCCAAGCTCATCCCAACTAGTACCAGTACTCTCATTTTCTGGGCTCCTACTTGAGTCTGTCATATAATCTAGACTGTACCAGGGCTGCCTCTTTGGACAGCCTCTCAAAACCCTTCCAAACTGATTCCCAAGGCTTTTAAGCTTAAGCAACATGGCCAGGCAACATCACAGCAAGTACCCACTCGATGTCTGTGTGAGTTCATACCCGACTCCCGGTACCAATTTCTGTATCAGTCAGTATTTACTAGAGAAACCGATAGAACACAAGATATATAGATATGTATAAGAATTTACAAGATTAGCTTACAATAGCCACCCACAGGGTCGGATGAAGAGGAGTTCAAAAGATCTCTCCACACACTGGAGACTGAAGGATTCAGTCAAAGTTCTGGAGCTCACTGTAGTGTTCTGTAGGGGTCTGTATCAGGAGGCCCATGGGTCTGCACTGGAAGGCTGAAAGGTCTGCGCTGGAAGGCAAAGACTGAAGCTCCTCCAAAGGAACGGAAGACGAGAACTCGACCTTCTTCATTTCCCCTTTATAACAGTCAGGTGAGGAGCAGCCCTGGGGTGAATCTCCCATGCCCTAAGGTGTGGAATTACTGAGCTGATTTGGCTAAGCTTCTCTTAGCCAAACTTCTCAAGTTGACACAATCACTCAACCATCACAGTGCCTAAAGACCAGAGCAGTCCTAGTGAGGCCCTAAAGCTAGCCAGGATCTGCCATGACTCAAACACAACTGGGTCATTCATGCTGAGCTATTTGTCTCTCAGATCTTGGTAATAAAATTAGAGTTAAACCAACATGACCTTTAAGCAGAGTAGAATAATATTTAATTTCTCACTTTAGTGATGAGAAAGATCATAGTTATTGTTATTAAATAAATATCTCCAAGTGGGAGAGTAGGTAGACATCAACCAAATCAAGTTGTGAGAAAGACATAAAGGAGGAGTTAGGTAGAATTAAATTGACTTGTTTTGTGGCTGTTTTCTAGGCTGTAGGTCTTTGATCCACAGTTCCTTCTAGAAGCAAGTCAGTCATTTAATAATAATAATAATAACCACTTAATAATAATAGTACTATTTAATGAGGCAGGCTGTATACAAAATGTTTTGCATGTAAACTTACTCTTTGCAAAAATCATGAGCTTTTGGGTACAAGACATAGACATCCAACTCAAGCAAGATAACACTTATCCAAAATCAAGAGGGAGGAAAGTACATGGCTAGGAAGGAATCAGAGCAGCTTAGACAAGCAGGGTGAGCAGGACCAAGGAGAGTATTGGAGGTGGAATCGGGATTCAACACCTCCGCACTCACTCTCTATTCAATGCATGAATACCGGCTTCACCCTCCCCTTCCTCAGCCAGGGCTATTCCACCTGGTGGAGAAAACAGTTACCTGGAAATCCCAACTTTGCATCTGTTTTAGTTGGGCCTCTCCCCAAAGCAGACTCAGACAAGAGTTCAGGTGCACTGTTTGGAAGGTGAGGCCAAGAAACAGTGAGTGAGGAAGGGGAGAAAGCTAGAAAACTGTGTGAAGCAATGCACTGCAGCAGGGACAACTAAATCTCAATCTGACTGGTATGCCTGGGGAAGGACGTGCGGATTACCCTCCCAGAATTGTTCCCTGAAGAATGAGTTCATCGAGTATTTGCCAGCTGCCCTCCTTCATTGTTTGAGAGTTGATCTGAGGATAATAACCTGACTTGCTTCCCAAGGCAGAGAAAGGCTATATGCTAAGGTTGTATGGACTATGTTCAGAAACTGCATGCAGGTAACTTCATAGGGGGACAAAGAAGATATGGTGGAACACCTGTAACACACACTATGGCTACAACTCGTTTCAGCACTATAGTTCCCAAAGCAGCATGGAGCTGCTTCTCTTTCAGCTCCAGTCCCAGCAAGTTCAGCAAAGGACCTGGATCTATTAGGCTTAGGTCATGTGCCCACCAGGGACCAATTACAGGTCCAGGGGCACAGAGGCTGCTTCCTAGGAAGAGCTGCCTTTCAGCTTCATCTATTGGGGTAGACAAGGTTCACTTAGACCTTTTCTCTACTCTTTGCAGTAACTAAAATCCATCTCCATCCCTTAAGAAGTATAAGAAAAACAAAGACTGACCTTACTTTGCCTAGTAACCAGGCTACTGGCAGACGCAGACCTGCCTGGTTCTCCAGTTTTCACCAACTTGATCCCCCTGCAGAAAGAAAACAGTCATTATCAAAAAGCTTATTGTCATTATGCCTCTTTAGAAAAATTTCCATTAAAGATAAAGCAAATTTTAATTAGATTAAGTATCCAATTACTGTAATTACATTTTTTAAAAATTCACATCATGAAGATGACCCTTTTAAAAAGGGTTATAGGAATAATTAGTGTATTCATATTAACCAAAATGTATTGGATAATATTTATACCCAGAAGACAAAGTACATCACACACATTTCACCTTTGGGGAAAGCTTGCAAATGTTTTGGCAGTGGCATGAATATTTATAGGCAAGAGTGTGCTTTAGCAAGATTATGTGAGGAAGCATTTAAATGCTCACCAATTTTTACCCAGGGGTAAAGTATACAGAAAATGTAGCAAGCAGATTATGGATATGCAAAGTGTGACTTCAGCGGAGAATTTCTATCAGTTTGCTTAATTAATTGGTGCCAAAGACTATTTCTCCTTATTCAAGGCAGAAAGGCCCAAGTTGTCCAACTAAGACTGCTTTGTGTTGCATCCTCCAGCAAGGAGAGTTGGTGGGAAAGCAGTAAGGTCTTCCCACCTTGCCCGTGCACCATCAGGAAGCCTTGGTCTTCACATTCCTAACTTTATCCCACTCGGCCCCACTTGTGAAGAGGTTTAGGAAAAGGAATCTGGGTTTCTCCCAAAAAGTTTTCATCTGAAACCGCCTTCTCTTTTCTGGTTCCCATTTTCTCCCTTCAGACCTGCCTCTGAGCTGTAGCTGCTGGTGCTGATTCTGTCTCATACATAATTACCTTCCAGCCTCCATCACATTTGCAGGTTCAGTGGGAGAAAGGCAGTATCCTTTCCAATTCACAGATGAGAACCCTGGAGCTCCAGAGCTTGCAGTGACTCCCAGAACCATGTCACAGAATGGGTCTCCTAAGGAAGCTGCACTGCCACTGATCCCAGAACTGCAGGGCTCCACTCTGCCTTCCAGGAAGCTGCACTGTGGCCACTGCCAAGCCCGGCAGCTTCCCACTTCTGCTGCCGCTGAAACCCATCAAAATGGGCAGGCCAGGCTTGCCCTTTCCTCTTACACATACTTTGCCCATAAAAGTCAGGTGTGATTATGTCTGACTGGGGACAGTTATATATCTGCATTCTAGTGGCCAGAGAAGCCAGGAATACAGTCTGTTGGACCCTATGTCAATAATGTGTAATTCTCGGGCCGGGGATTTGGCTCAGTGGTTTCGCCTCTGCTGCACAAGCGCAAGGACCCGCGTTCGATCCCCGGTACCAAAACAAAAAGTGTAATTCTCAATATGGATAACATCAAGAAAGGATACTCAAATGATATTGGACATCCGCAGGTATTCATCACATCCCCCATCCCAGACCAAAATTCTACCCATCTTTTAAAATCCAGGTCCAAAACACCATCTTCTGTACCATTTCCTGCATTCCTTCCTTATCATCTTCATTTGGAAAAACAGGCCTTGCTACCCTGACCTTCGTGTTCCTGGTTCTTGGTCTCATTTACCTGACAAGCACCCCAATCTCGTGCCTGTAGTAAGGTCTATGACTCTGTACAATGGGGCTGCCACCATTCCTTATAGACTCTGCTTTAATATTGACTTTGGAGCCAGGGTATATCCTTGAATCTCTTCTAAGATGGAAAGGCCCCAGCCACAAGATGAATTAAATTTTTGGAAATTGCCAGAGTCTCTATAGTAGGAGTTTTTCAGAGAAACAGAATCAACTGGATATGTACACATTATCTATCTCTCTATCTCTCTATCTCTCTATCTCTCTATCTATCTTCTATCTAGAATTAGACACTGGGAAGTCCAAACTCTGCAACAGGCTAAAAACACAGGAAGAGCTGATGACATAGTTCAAATCAAAAGTTCAGTCAGCTACAGAATTTCTTTCTGCTCAGGGAAGGCCAGTATTTTGCTGTATTTGGGCCCTCAACTGATTGGCTGAGGGCCACCCCCATTATAAAGTTTATCTGCTTTACTAAAATTTCAGATTTAAATGTTAACTTATCTGAAAATAACCTCACAGAAATATTCAGAACAATATATGATTATATATCTGGGCACCATGGTCCAGAAAACTTGACCCATAAAATTGACCATCACGGTCACTTAAAAAGGGCCAAATTTGGTAGATAATGTAGCATCATCTATGGTGGGCAAAATCCATTATTTTTTTTAATGAGTCTTTGGGGATAACTCTTCAAGGAAACTTTGATTGTTGATTCCTAGAGATGTTGATTCCAGTTGCTCAAAGCAGTGGCAGGATCAGAACATGTTTATGAAACCAGAAGCCTTGTGTTTTAATAAATAGTTATTGTGAACCAACTCTGTGCTCAACATGCCAAAAAAGAAGATGCTAACCTATCCTCATGCAATGGAATCTAGGTGAAAAGCCCCAACAAACTCATGAGAAACAATATGTATAGGAATCTAGTGAAAGAAAGAGTCAGTATGTGTTGGAGTTCAGGAGAGTTTCTTTGGGGGTATTGGCCAGAGGTATGTGTGAATTGGATATGCAGGGATAAGGGACTTTTGGAGCCTCATAGCCAAAAATTCCCAAATGCAAGGTTAGAGATGAAAAGGCAGCCTACAGGGCCACACATCTAAGTGGGTCAAAACATACTACCCTTAGGAATTAATGCTCTGGCTCTTTCCTCCCCATACTCTGACTTATCATTTACATTGGCCCTAAGATGAATCATGTCACAGACCACCCTGTCCTTCTTGTGTGCCCTACATGAATCCCTGCATAGACATCCTTCCTTTGTCCTTTATCCTTGCTTCCTGGTTCTATCACTAAAAACCCACAGAAGTTTCAGTTCGGGTCTGTCTTTATAAGACTGTCTCATACTGAGGGGTCTTGGTGAAGGGCAGTCCCTCCAAGCCTTCTTGGAGTTTGAATTGGACATTGACTCTGAGTAATCTCTCAACCTTCGCACCATGCCACAAGCTTCCTAGAAGAGATTCATATTTGCTTAGGCCTTATATTTTAGGGAATATTGGCTATGAACAGGAGGATGGAAGGAAATTGGGTAAATGAGCATCCTGGGAGAGGCATAACCATAGTTCATGCTGGTCCACAGAGGAAAGGATGATTTGGATCAAGAGAATAAATCATATAGCTACTTGAGAGGGAATCCAGTGAGAGGGAGGCCAATGAGCTGAAACTAGATATTGCAGCCAAAGGGAGTCACTGAAGACCTAAAGAGAAGAGTGTCCGGGGCTCACACTGCAGCTTGGACTGGAGGACTGGAGCACACTGGATGGGACCTGGGAGCCCATAAACAGGAAGTTGACAAGAAGGGTACTGATTCATATCCAT